AAGGTCTAAAGTTTGCCTATTATGGTACATCGTGCAATTCCACAATACGCCCCGCATCCAGTATTTATTAAAAATAATGGTGTAGGGCATAAGTAGATTACAAAATAGTAGGAATACAATTTGAGATTCACAAGATAAATTGAACATCTGATTTGGTGCAACAAAAATAGGAGATAAACATAATTAATAAACAAATAGACATAATGAGATAATTATAATTAGTACTGGCAACACAATGTTAAATGAATTGTTATAATAATGCTAAAGAGGTAGGTGTCCATGGGTTATTTCAGATATATTGGTTTATTGCAGTTTATAAAGTTCAGTTCACGAGCGGATCCATTTTGTCCATAATTACAGCATGTAAAAGTTCACTAAGTTTAAACTGTATGTGGATTTACACTTGACAGAGATCTACGCCGTAGGAAGAGAGTCGTTGCATAATTTTCTGAAACTTTGGATATTGATGTTTATCTTTAATTAAAAATCTTTGGAATGCCAGGAGGTCAGTTCTTGGGAATTTTATGTGAATATCCTCAGTTAAGGGGCATGAGAAAACGTAGTGATCAGGAGTTCTCTGTTCCCCACATATGCAGATGTCAGAGTTTGCCAAATTTCTTGCGTAGAAATATGTGGGGAAGGGTCCATGTCCTGTTATAAAGTAATTTAGGGAAGGATTCGAGTTCAGAGATGCTAAGCTTACATTGGGCATCAAGTTATATGTGCGTCTTCCCTGTGGAGCATTGTTCCACAAATCTTGCCAAGATTTTGAAGCAAGTTGTTTCAGTTGGTACTTGAAATTCGAGCGAGGCCACGGAATGATGATTTCAGTACCATCTTGATTAATAGCTGCTTCTTTGGCTAGTTCATCTGCTTGATCATTACCAAAATGGCCACTATGTCCTTTGATCCATGAGATTTGAATTTTGTAGTTTGGGATTTTTCCAAGAAGAGAATTTATGTCGGATATCGATGGAGAGGAAGGTAAGGGATTTTTAATAGCTAGAATAGCTGCTTGGGAGTCAGATTTTATGCTAAATTCGTTGAGATTTTTGAGAATGGCTATTTCAATCGCTGCTTTTATAGATGACAATTCCGCTTGGAAAACACTATTATTATTATGGAGATGGCCTTTCCATTTGATGATATTTGAGGGGGTAATTTGAAAAAAGACTGCGGAACCAACTTTTCCTTCAATTTTTGATCCATCAGTATAAGCAATTGGAGATGAACTTGAATTTTCTTCAGACGTGGTGAATATTATTTTGCTGAAGCGAAGCGCTGGATGGATAAGATTGGGGTTAATTTTCTTTTCATAGTTGGATGGCTAAAAGGTTTGGTTGTTGAATTCTGCGGCTTGGTTAAGTTGGAGAACTTTCGTATAGGTGCATTCCATTTCTGCACTGATTGATAACGGAAGAGTACCAGCTAGAGTATCAAGTGCTATATTTGAAGTTGTGCGCGATACGCCCGAGTAATGCAAAGAGTAAAAGGCCTTTGAATTGAATTTAAACATTTAATCTTTCTTACTGTCATTGGTTGTGCCCAAATTCCGGCTCCGTAATTTACCATTTTTGAGATGACTGTTTTTAGAAGAATACGTGTTATATGCGGATTTAAGCCCCAGTTATATCCATGCATACGTCGTAGGCAGTTAGCTATTGATGTTGTACGAAGTTTAATATTTTGTAGATGAGGAATCCAGGAGAATTTCTTGTCGATTGTTAAACCGAGGTAATTGATTGTGTTCACAGATTTGATCTTTTTGATTGTCAATTTTTAGAGCTAAAGCTTTAGTTATATTTTGTCCTGGTTTATGGATCACTAAGACTTGGGACTTACTATGTGAAATTTGTAGTTTTTGAATTTTGCAAAGTTGGTTAAATAACTGGAGTGTTTCGTTGCAATTATTCTGTAAAATGTCTCTGGTACGGCCACTTGTAATAAAAGCTACATCATCTGCAAAAGCTACAATTTTTGAGTGATCTGGCCATGGATAGGCAATGATGTGGTTGAAGCTGATATTCCAGAGATCTGCACTCATGCAAGACCCCTGAAGACATCCTCGGACTTGATTACGCACAATTTCAGTGTTGTTGTAAAGAATCATACTTTTTCTGTTTCTGAAGTAATCTTGAATTCTTAATTACCTCTTAATTTCTTAATTAGAAATAAATTTTGAGGGCACTTAAAGGAACGCAGCGCTTGTAAAACTGCTGGCCACCATAAAGAATCAAAAGCTGATTTTAAGTCGAGACATATTATTGCAGAATGAAGTTGGTTGATTTTATTGTTTCTGACTTGTTCAAGAGCTGCATTAATTGCATGACTTCTTGAAAGTAGGCTTCGAAATCCAAACTGGTTATTGCTTATTAAGTTTTTGCTGTAAACATGAAATTTTAGACGACCAATAAGACATCTTTCCAAAACTTTTCCCAGGGCTGGGAGAAGATTTATCGGACGATAAGATTTAGGTTCATCGGAGCTTTTATTCTTCTTATTGAAGAGTATTATATTACCAATTTTCAGGCAATCAGGAAAGGTAGAGAGTTCTATACATCGATTGCAAAAACTACAGATTATGTCAGGATGGGCTTGATGGATTAATTTTATAATGTGGTTATCGATGCCATCTGGGCCTGGTGCCTTTTTTAAAGTTAGGTTTTTAATTATTTGCTTTATTTCTTGTTTTGAGAACGGAATATCGTTGTCTGTTTGTGGAATGTCATCGCAGTTACGGATTCTGGTTTGAGTAGGCGAATCTTCAGCTGGATCATCTTTTAGAAAGACAGAGTCAAGAAATCTCATTCAGGGTTGAGAGAGTGGCATCCTGAATTTCAGCAGAACTTGAAAGCAAAATTTGAGGGAAGTTGAATTTGTGACGGTTTAAATATTTTACTACTGGCGATCTTGTATAAGGTGCCATAAATTTCTTTATTGTTTGAACAATATTTGTGCCAGCTTTTTAATTTAGATTCGAGAATCATCTTTTTGTAGTTTGCATTTTCTTTTTTTTGAATTTGAGCCAGGCTTGGTGTCTTAATTCATCGTCAGTAATCGATTTCATTTTCCGTTTCAATGCTCTCGCCTTATGCTTTTGAGCGCGTAACTCTTTAGTCCACCAATTTATATGAAAGTAAGGTTTTGCAGATCGTATTGGAAAGGTATTTTCACATATTTCTTGGATTTTTTTTATAAAAACTTCTGTAGTTTATTTAGATCTTCTTTTGTTGCACTTAGTTGGAAGGAAGAAGTCATTGGAAATGCGGATTGTTGAATTTGCTTAATAAAGTTCTTTTCTTTCCTTTTAGTAATTTTAAAACGTTTCATTAAAACTGATTCTGAGTTCTCTTTGATTTCAAAAGTAATATATTTATGATCTGAGTGAGAGTTGTCTTCTTCAATTTTGCGATTTGAAATCGAATTAATTAGGTGATGGGAAGTAACTACGAGATCTGGCCACCCTCTCCCATACATTGTTTCGAAAGAAGGTAAATCCGAGGCTTGGTTATGAATGGCAGATTATGCGAATTGAAGAATTCCTCAAGGGACCTTCCTCTTGGACTTGTGGAATTGTAGCCCCAAAGCTGGTTGTGTGAGTTGAAATCTCCACAAACCATCGCAGAGGGCACAGCGTACTGGTAGTTTTTCCTTCGGATCTTTGCAAGTATACGTTTCATGGGGGCCTGCACATTTTAAGCATCTGACCGCGTAGTTACATAGTTTCTATACTATGGCCATAACGCTGGGGGCATGTGCCATCGCACAGGGCCAGGTGTTTTTTTTTTAAATTATTTTTTTTAATAGGGTCTTACAAGAATATCCAATCCTCTCAATTTTTCTAGCTTCCATACTTTCTTTCCTGCTTCATTTTTCTTAATTTCAACTAGGAATAGGGGCAATTTGCCGAACTTTGCTAACAGGGATTTCCAGCTCTTTTAATTCTTGTTTGATTTCTTCTAGTTTTGTAGTGTGAGGTAATCTTTTGATTACAACTTTTATCAGCTTTTTAGAGTTAATTTGAAAGGTATGAAAGGGCACACCATCTTTCTAAAACATGTCCGTTACTGCACGGTAATCATCTGAAGTTTTTGCAGAAATCGTTAGTGTTCTCCTGTCATTCCACCTTCATAATTTTTTATATTTAGGGTATCCTCAATTCTCTCTTTTAATTTTCCCCAGTCTCCTGTAAATTCACAGAGTACGATGGGGGGGATATGCGTGGCTGTCTTTGGGGGGGGTTAAGAATTCTCCCTCTCCTGTGCTATCCATTTTATCACCGTCAGGTAATTCCGCGAATTTATTTTTCTGCGGTGGTTCGGTTATTTCACTTTCTGAACGCGTTCGTTTTAGAATGTTTCTTGGGGAAATAATACCCTCATCATCAATTACTTTTTTTAGTCTTGGAATTTTTTCTCTCTTCTCAGGAAACCACCTTATATATCTCCGATATCTGAACTTCCGGGAGGGAGATTCTTTCACTAATACCTAACAGTGTCCATCTCCTAACCCTGATGAAAAGACTTCTTTTCCCTCTTTGTCCATTGGAGTGACCTTCGAAGCTGTAACCGGAATCATTAACAAAGGCACAGAATGTCACCACCGATATGAAAACTATTGCTCTCGGAAAATTAGAAATATCTTCACGGCTTGGTAAGAACTACGCCAAGACGAGAAAGCATCAATTCCTTAGCTGTTGCAAGTTGCTAATTCAGTGTGAATTCAGAATACTGAAATATCTTCGGATTAGTTTTCTCTTAATATGTGCTTTGCATTGTGCTGTGTTTAATATGCTTAGTAGGAGTAAAACTACTGATTGTAATCTGTGATACTATTTTTGTAGAAAGTTCCAGAACTCAAAAGTGTTTCTTTTGATAAATTTTATCAACCTATCATTGGCGTGCATTCAATCTATTAGGAACTTATATGCATGCAACAATACTCTTAACAGATTCCATTTTATTACATGAAAAAGCTACAAAAGAAAAAGGGACATAAAATACTTTCTAGTAGCAAACAATCTTTATTAACAGAAACATTTTTTAAATACCAAAAACAAAAGTATTTAAATAAAAAAAAAAGTGCACACAAACCTGTTTAAACCTTTCTTCCCCCCCCCATACAAATAAGATATTTAAGTACAAAATCAAGTTTATCACAGGCTAAAAATATTTTTTTTATAAACTACAAATTTTGCACAAAAATATCAGCATATACCATATGACTAGTTTTATCTTTTACAAACATAAAACATATTTTTATTATCTTTACATGAAACTGAAATAGAAGCTCAACTATGCACAAAAGAACAAAAGTACATAATCAGGACACCCACAATATCAGCACAAAACCCCAAACTCTTATTATTAATCAATAAAGAACACAAGAAAGGATACGCAATTAGCACCTGCTTTCCTTTATATGAATACAAATAAAAACATATACCAGAAAACTTATTCAAATTTTTTTTTATGTAAATAAATCTAATTTAGGATGCAACAATTACTAAAAATACACCTTTTTGCTCAAATTCCAAAGAAAAACATTATTAAATTAATATCCTGTTATGGATTTCACTGCAATTAACAACATACATTTTTACTTAAACTATAACTAGAAATTATGTTTCTTACAATAAAAAGTATTTATATTTTTTTACTATGAAGTTTAAAGCTTCAGTTATGTTTATTTTTAAATGAGTACAAATTTTAAAAATATGTAAAACACAATTCTAGAGATTTTTACTAATCTTGAGTAAGACTTATTATAAGGCATAGAAAACAATTTTTAAAAGATAATGCATATCATTAAAAAATAATGCAATGAAATTAAACTTATTTAACTGAGTATGTATCAGATTCTCAATCAGCACAAATGAAAGAGAAAAATAAAAATATCAACATTTAGAATGATAAGCATCACTTATGAATATTAAATAAAAGTAATATCCATAAATATGAGAAACACTAAAATGAAATAACTTTTTCACAAATTATACAGTTAAAACTAATATAACTGAATTTAATTTTCATGCATTTTTTAAAATATCACTTAGATATCATAAATCCTTACTTTTTTCAAACCACTTCAAATTGTACATAAGTTTCACACTTTAAAAATTTGTATATCTAAAAAATAAGTATGACTTGCACAGAACTTTAATGATAAATGGAAAAATTATAGTAATCTAAATTACTTGTAACTAAACTAGGAGCTCAAAGCAATTCTAATGTAATTCCAAAAATGTAAATAAAAAATCATTCACATTCAATACAAAACCCTGTGAAATTTTAGTTTTTGTGCAACAAAACTGTAGAATAGTAAGGCTTACATTTGCTATGAAAGAAAAAGGAAGAATCAATTTCCTCTTCAATTTTATGAACTCATACTTCGACTGAACATTAATTCTTGTAATTAACATTCATTAAATTATATACATCTTTCTATTTTCACCTGCAACTATTCTACAGAAAACTTCAACAGAAAGTATCACAAGAATAACATAATATTTACAAGACAAATTATTCAACAGTTTGTATTTTGCCAGTCAATTTTAAAGCCAAAATATAAAACTGATTTCAGAATAATCACAATTTAGCCCATTACTTATACAAAAATGCCAGACTAAAAAATAAAATGAAAATTTTTAATAGAGCTGTCAGAATTAAAACCAAAATCTCAAAGCTGATGCTACAAATCCAAGCTTTTTTATGTAGCATTTTCCAAGGAACTGGGACATAAATAATTCACATAGTAAAATATATGTAACATATCAGACAATATTTTATAATATACATAAACTAAAATTAATAGAACATGTCAACACACATGTGTATAGTTTAGAATTTGACAAGTTTAGATTACAAGCCAAAGGGAAGTTAAAAAGCAAGAAACTATATATTTTACAAATACAGATTATAATAAAATATAATAAAGACAGGTAATTTAGACACTGCTAAGAAAATTGTGATTTCACTGATATTACTTTATGATTTCACTGAATACAGATTAAATACAGATTTATCATAACCTTGTAACAAATAAAAACACTTTGCCTTTATGACCTTCTACAGTCAAAACAATTACTCTTTCCATAAAAAGGAATTCTATAAAGACTACATTCTCAAATAAGAATTCTTTATGAACAGAGGGTTCCAAAACCAACATTTTTCACTGAAGGGAAGATTAATTTAGAAAAGACCCTTTTTCATTGTTTGCTACAAAATAACTCATTCAATTACTTTTATATAGGTGTTTACAAAATTCCGGAATGTGCTTATCAAAATGGTTTATATTTTGCAAAAACAATCAGGAATTATAATTTAAAGTAAATGTTTCAAATATTTAAAAAAATGGATGCCAAGTGAACTAAGCCCCAAGTATATGAAAAATCTGTTTATCATATTAAAGATTAAAATAAACTTTATAAACAGCAAAATAAGGAAAACAACAATTTTTAATACAGCATAAAAAGAGCAATATTTAAAACAAAAGAACATAATTAGTTTTGATAATAAAACAGAAAAATCTGAACTACATTAGTAAAACAATCCACTTCTAGAAAATCAGACACATTTCTTTCGTAATAAAATAATGAACAAAATTACAAAAGAAATCCTATGAAAACAACCATGATCTAAAATCTAACCTGAAAGGGGAAGATATCATAATTATATACCTTTACTATCTCCATAGTAAATAACTATTATTCTCATGCATTACTTATATTTTCCTCAAATATAAAGTTTAAAATTTAGTTAGTTAATTCAAGTTAAAACTTTTAGGAAACACACTGTGCTTTTTGGAATAAAGTAGAAAAGAATTCCCAAATTTTCAATTAAAAAAGAAAAAAGAAAGAAAGAAAAGACATGGAGGAGGGGGAGAAAAACGAAAGTACAACACATATTGCTTTCTTTCTTAAAATTCAAACCTCTTTACACAATATAACATCCGCTACTACATTCCTTAACAAAAAATTCAATACTTACACAAACCGTTAAAAGAAAATATACTTTTTAATTTATACTTTCTTTTTGCAACTATATTTATAGTGGCTGATAGATATTCATAAACAAAACATATAAAAGAGACAGATTGAAAGAATAAATGTTTAATAATCCACTACAATCTTTTCACTGAATAAAAAGAAATTGGTAAAATAATTCATAGTTGAAAATTTTTGATATCACAGCCATGAACACTATTATTTTCAACTTACTGGGTGTATTTATTATTTTCAACTTTGTACTTAGCAAAACAGTTTAATAAATTATTAAAATATATCTGGAAAATTACAAATACCACTGAATATATGCATAAGACATAATTAAATTTTATTGGGCATTAACATTTGATAAAAATTTGAAAGAAGGGTTTGAAGAAAATTTCATCAATATTTCCCCATTTACAGTGTAAACTGCTTTTTGTTTTTACGGGGAAAGAAAGCACAATGAACGGTTTCAGAAAGTTGGCATTTATTCAATTTCTAAAAAAAACCATGATTTTGCAACATAGAGCTAAATTTTTACTACTTACTTTATTAGAAAAACATAAATAAAATAAAAGGCTCTTCTGGTTGCTTATATTTAAAGCTTTTTATAATACAGCACAAAAAAACTGTTAAATAACATGACAATAAACAAAATTAAATCATTAAAAGACTTAAGGGGCGTGAAACTGTGTCCCTGCTTTCAAGTAATTAAAAAAAGTTCATAAAAAGATTTTTTTCTGCATTTGAATTAAAGCAACTGAAACTACTACATGAACTACTTTCAAATGATACTTTGGCCAACACTTGTGAGCAATTCTCAAGAAAATGCTAATATAATGTTTGTTCATCAGAACTCTGTTCAAAAAACACCTTTTATTATTCAGATGAACTTGATGATGTGGTTGATGTACTTCCACTTCTCCTTCTTCCAACAGCAATGCGCGAAATATATTTGCTGGAAAAGAAATAGTTGTGAATATAACTTCTTAGAATGATATATAATAAATTTTATTTAAAAAAATAAGTGTTTCAAATACATATTTTATAGATATGGGCACAAATAATTCAACATTCAAATAATTATAGGTTAAGACAGCATACAACTGAGACAATAGCAACCTAGAAAAAAATAACTGCATAGAGAATTTTCCAAGTGATACTGAGTCATAGTTACATTTCATGTTAGAATAATTCACAATCCCCGTGCTCATTCAATTGCCACCATGTCAACTTCGGTGAGCTATCAGTAATTCATTTGACATACGACTAATCCAGACATTCAGTTTACTGATGAAAGTATCTAATTATATATGTAATAAATATATCAGCACTACTATTTTATAACCTTTTTTTTTATTTTTTTTGTCTCACCATGTGAAATCATACCACTCTAGAAAACAAAAAAATTTAATGTGGACAACATCCTTGTATGGCCTATTAAATTATACACATTTATTGCAACATTTCATTAAACTTATTTCCCCGAATTTCATTAGAGATATATTTTTCATTCAATCAATTCAGGTCTCACTTCACGGCAAGGAAAAAATACATTACAAACATCTTCATTACAAATCATCATCATCATTCATTACAAATTGTAAAATACAGAGAAACTAAAATACCATATAAAGTTAAAAACCACTAGAAAAAACGATTTTACATCTAAAATTAAAGTTTAAATTAATTAAAATTAGGGAGAACGACAGATTTATCGGTGCACAAAGCTTTTAGCCCCCTCACTCAGCAGCTCGTCACAACTTTTAAATTGCTGATGATTATACAACTACTGCATGCATATTAACTAAAGGCATAAAAATCTTAAACATAACATAAGAACAATATAATTCAATCACTTTTAAAGCAAAAAATACACAATTGACCAACATATAAGAATAAAAATACTTAGCTCACCGAGCTCGGTAACGGATTGGTCGATTGCAAAAAGGGAGGTGCGCATCTACATGTTTTAGCAATCCCATGTACAAAATTTCAACACTCTGAGGCTACTCGTTTTTGAGTTTTGCAAGATACATACATACGCACGTATCTCGCATTACTCAAAAACGAGTAGCCTCAAAGCATTGAAATTTTGTATACGAGATTACTAAAACATATAGTATACATACGGACAGACATGACGGAAAATCGCCTCTGAATTCATTTTGGGAAAAAGACTTTATTCTGTCTGTATTTACATATGTAATTTAAAAACATCATTCAAATGGAATCGAGAGTGGTTAAAATGGATATTTGTAATATGATATCCAAAATTTTTCAGGATTACAATACTTCCTTCACTTTGTACAAGGAAGTAAAAAAAAAATGGCTTCTTGTTTACTCTTATGTAAGCCATACTCTCAATATTTCTTCAAAATCTTTTTCTTTCTCAGGAACATAATTATTTGAAATCAGTTTTAATCAATTTGAAATCAGTACCACAGGGTTTTCTCTTATGGCTTTTAATAAAGCCTTAAAAACATTTTCTTTTTATTCCTTATACATAAAAGGCATTTTGCTATTAAAAACAACCTTTGATGTCATTCCATTTCCTGGATTCACACATTTTCTGCACATGGAAATTACAAACTTTTAAAGAGCTATCAATGAAAAATAAAGACATATCAACAAATGTGAATTGAATACAATAAAACAATTACCTGTGTGACAAATTTCACTCATGTAATACCACTCTAAGAATAAAACCCAAGTATATGTAGGATGATCATTATTAAACATAACTATAACACAAATTTGAGAATAAAATCATTAAGCAGCCATGGAATTAACAACATAATTTTCATGAACATAATTTTCAGAAACATTTATTCGCTTCTTGTACACATTATTTTCACTGCTTGTATGTAGTGAAAAGCACAAAAAGAAAAACAGATGTTGAGAGAAAAACTTCTGAGATCAAAAGCAAAAAAACTGAAATAACTTTGGCTGCCACTACTTTTCCCCAAAAATTCTTAAAAGAAAAAACTTATCACGGTCTTCTTGTAAAACATATGTATTCTGTGTTAATAAAACAAAAGCAATTTCATTTTGCCACAGACTTCTTAGCTAATAATTTTGGTCTTGCTTTCAAATCTTGCTCGAATCTTCCTTATGGCATATAATACATTTTTTTTTTTTTTTTTTTTGTTTCAACAGCCAATCCCTTATCATATCTGCCAAATTTATAAATTTTTCAGGGGGGGGAAGCATAAAGTGAAATTTACATAAAAAATGATGCATAGCTGAATAGTATGAAGCAATTACATGAGGGACAACTATAAAAAATTTAAACATACACATGTGTAATTAATTTTAAAATAATTACAGCAGCCTCGTTTGCTTTTTTAAAAAGTGGTTTGGGATCTACACATTTTAGCAATAATTCTTTATTTTTCAATATCAAGGTATTCATAAATTCCCAAAATAAAAGGTTAAGACATTTTAAAATACAACAGAAATAAAATGCTTTATTTTAGAGCTTTTTTCCCCTCCAAAAAATATAATTTAATATATTATTATTGTAATGATATTTTAACAATGCTAATATGTTAATATTAAAAAACAAAATTTGCAAATTTCTGAATCAAAAATTAAGGAGTCAAATTGATCTCAGAATATGCAAAATTTTAATGAGTTGCCATATTTAGCTAATCTAAACACTCATTAAAATTGCACATCGAGGAACAGAATCTTATGTTTAAAATGGAAAAAAAAAAAAAAATTCTCAATAGCTAATCATAGTTGAACACTTTACACAACTGTGGTTTTGTGAAAATGAGCCACAAAACTCCTTCAGCTGGTCAACTAGATTTCCTTGACACCTTTCATACCAATAAAAATTTACCTTCTTCAGTTAAATTAATTATAATCTATTTCTTTTTGGTACTTTCAAAATTTTAATATCTTAGCTTTTTTAAGTTTCATTACTATACTCCAGGGGGGGGGACAAACTTCATGATAATAGCAGCCCCATTTAAAGATTCAGGAATTTTGAAAGGCCCAACTAGGTTTTGCAAGAGCTTCAAAGTCCATATCTACATTGTTTTAAATGTAATGAAATATAATTTTATGAAAAGGAATGTCAGAAGAAATAAGTGAGAATTTCATATTTTCATTTTTACTTTTTTATGTTATGTTCACTGTGTGTGTTTGTGCAAGATATCAAAATTTGAAGAAAAATTTATAGCTATATAAAAATTAAATTGAACAAATTAGCAACATACCTTTAAATAACTCATTTTCAATTAAAAAGCACAACCCCTTCAATGCATCAGCGATTTCCCTGCAATTTTAGCATTGCTGTAAATGTTTTCCCAATCACTTATCCAGAACTAAAAGAATTTCTGAACTTGTAAATAGCACTACAACTAAATATGCCTTCTCTTTTGCTGCCTACGCTTGCTAGTGCTAAAAGATATATCTTGCTCCACTACTTTGACTCACCGTTAAAAATTTAATGCATTATGATCAAATTTGTAGGATGCAAATTGTGCCTACTATGATGTGCCATGCCATACAGTAGGATGTGCCATGCCATACAGTAGTTTTTCTCTCAACAAGTAATAAACATATGTTTGTAATATAAAGTGATTGTGATTTTGTAATTCTTCAGAAGTTCCCAGTATCTTCTACTATATACAGCTGATACTGCAGTGAACTTTTCATCACACACACACACACAAATAAAAAAAAATCTCATTTATGTTCCTGTATATTCAGAAAAGTTTCTTTTTATGATACAGTAGGCTCACGATTATCCGCGCCTGCCGCACAAAGTCTCCTTTTTCTTTCTTTCTTTTTTTTTTTTTTTCTTTTACAAGCGTAAAGCAAAGAAAATAAAAATGTTCACAAAACTGAGCAAAACTTTCAATTTGCTAACAAAGTGCTTATTTAAAGCAAAAATATCCCAGGCCTTCCCGGAACCTTCCCCTCTGATGAGTAAGTGATTTCTTACTCACCCTTGCAGTGCCCGCTCCACCGCCCTTCTCGTCTTACTGATACATCCACTTTCTCCCACTCGCCATTGTTAGTTTAAGCCTGATAGTGTTTGTGAACCTGTCGGAGTTCATTTCTTATCTTTTATTGTGTTCAGTGCTTGTGCATTTTAGTTTGGTGTTTTTCATTATCGATTTAAAATGTCAGGAAAACGAAAGAAGGTTGTGTTGGTAATTGCGCAAAAACTAGAATTAATTTCCAAAGTAGCAAACAGTACTACAAGACAGCAGATGGAATTGGATTACGGAATCGCAGAAATAACAGTGTGCAACATTCTAAAGCAAAAAGACAAACTGGTGAACTTTGCATCAATGCTCGGACAGTGCTTCCGCAATGAAAACGCGGAAAAACTATGAAGGGTTCTACCTTTGATGAGCTAGACACGGCATTGACAGGGTGGTTAGCTCAAGTTCGAAAAGAGGGTACTCCTGTAAACGGTCCTATCATTGCGGCAAAGGCAAAAACCTTTTTTGAGTTGTTAAGCCTGAAAGGAAATTTTGATGCTTCTTCTGGCTGGTTGATAAGACTTCTGGCTGGTCGTTTTAAGCAGCGACATGGAATTTGAGAAATTGGACTTCGTGGGGTGAAACTTAGTGGTGACTAACAAGCAGCCGACGATTTCCACCATGAATTTAGAGAATATATTTTAAAAGAAGAGCTCTCTTTTGAACAAATTTACAATGCCAATGAATCGGGACTTTTGTGGAAATGTCTTCCCACTCACACTTGAGCATTTGAAAGTGAAAGTAAAGCGGCGGGTCATAAAAGCAGCAAGGAAAGGATCACTATCATGTCTTGCAGTAATGCTATCAGTGGACATGAACTTAGACGTGTTGTCATTGGAAAGTCCCCCCCCCCCAAAAAAAAAAGATCTTTCAAAGGCACGAGGATAGAAAATTTGCCCGTTGATTAATTTAACCAAAAAAAAAAAGGATGGATGAACCAAAACATTTTTCAAGA